TGGAACTATGGTTGGACTGTAGCAACGAAAGTGATTGTAAGACTATGTGTGGACCATAACATTCACATAGGTTGCAATTTCAAAATCTAAACACAAACCAATTATACGAAGTCGCTACTATGCTAATAAATATGACATTTTTTCTAACTTTATTTGACCAAATTCTAAAGTGCCGACACAATGTAGTTAGGGACGTTCTTTTTTATGTATTTCGGCACACTAAAGTTTCTGCCAATAAAGAGACACTATTGAACTTCTTGAGTGACCCGTTGGAAGGAAATTCAACACTTGAACTGAAGTTTCCTTTCAATGTCTTCCTTTAAAAAAACTAAGCTCTAAACGATTCCCAAGTTTTATTGATTTTTTATATCATTTTAAAACTGACATAAAATAAATTTCCAGCGAGAAAACATATAAATTCAAGAGCATAAATCATCCCCTAATAGAAATCCTATTAACTTTCCACTTTGTTATATTTTTACAAAATGAATCCATAATTAGAGACCACCCCTTTTCTTGAGACATATTATACCCAAATGGAATACATAATATAAAGAAGATAAATATTCCATACCACACCCCATGGAAAACACAAAATTTTGAACTTTGTCTTTGTTGACACCAACACAAAAAAGTCTTGATTTCTGATGATTTAACTTTAGATTGGAAGATAAATAAAAGCAATGTAATATACAAACAAAGATGTTTATATTCTCACGAGACCAGTGACTTAAAATTAAGAAAACTTCAACATAGAGTAAATAAAAAATAGACAAACCTCCTTAATCGACATTCGGTCCTTGAAATATGTCTGATGTAACAACATTCTCAATAGCTACATGTAGTCATTCCATCACCAAAATAAACAAAAAATGCAACGACCCAATTTTCACGACTAAAAATTTCATTTTTGATTAAGTGATTTGCACAATATTTGTATCAAAATATCAACCGATCATATCATTTAATAAAAACATGTCTCGTATCTGAAAACCGAATCGTAAAAACATAATAATGTCAGAGTACAATTCCCAGAATAACTCATAGTGCGGAAAACAAAGAGTGTGTGTATGATGTGCCGCTACCGCACCAGCTCCTTCCCCTTCATTGAAGAGGTACCTAAAACCAAAATTGTAAACTGTAAGCACGAAGCTTAGTGAGTTCCCCCATCGTACCACATACCATGCAATCACATAGCATACATACTGTCGGGCAATTCTGGGGTGCCCGACCTACCCGGTACGGCCATTCTAGGGTGTCGTCCTACCCATGCAGCCAGTCTGGGGTGTCGTCCTATCCATGTCAAACCATTCTGGGGCGTTGACCTACCCGTTGGTCCTAACAACCGAACCTCGGGGACTATTCCACCCTTTACTGCTACTATCACATATATCATAACATAAACATACTATCAGACATATCTGGGGTGTCCGAACTACCCTACGGTCCTAACAACCGAACTTGGGGACTATTCCCCTCCTACTACCGCTATCACATATAACATATCATGCCAGCATATAAACATATAAGCACATATTATCAGACATATCTGGTGTGTCTGACATACCTTTTGGTCCTAACAACCGAGCTCTACTGCTATCACATATAACATATCATGCCAGCATATAACATATCAGGTAGTAGCAAACCTAGATGATATCACAAAGACAATCATCTAATCATACAACTCCTACTGGTAGGTCGGCATTGTGGTCGTAGACACACCGCTACTGGAAGGTAACTCACCTCGTAGTAGCTGCTAATTTGCGCAGGAATCCTCTGACTGTTGCCGCTGCTGCTCCGGAAATCCTCCGGCTATAATTCCCACAAGACACTTAGTCATACACTGCTAACTGTTCTTAGGGTAAAATGACCATTTTATCCCTAACCAAATAAAAGTCAAAGTCAACTTCTAGTTGACCTGACTCGCCGAGTTGGCTCGCCAACTCGCCGAGTCCCTATCCTTCCATTTTTCCTTATACTTGTCTCTACTCGTTGAGTTAGGCGATGGCTCGACAAGTTTTCCTTCTAAATGAACATCGACTGAATCCTCATCCGACTCACCGAGTTGTATGAACAACTCGTCGAGTTCATCTTCAACTGATACACAGGTCCTGTCCTTGACTCGCTGAGTTGTATGAACAACTCGTCAAGTTCATCTTCATCTTTAAGAAGTTTGCCTTGGACTCGCCGAGTATGCTCGTACACTCGCCGAGTCCCATGAACTTCCAGAACAATGGCTTAGTCCAGAACGTTGGGTCACTCCCCGGGACCCCCGTAAAACCTTTCCACACTCAACTGGGTCCTTATGACCCTCACTGATATGGGATAGAAACCTTGGACTCGCCGAGTCCAAGAATAGACTAGTCGAAGGTCACATCCTCTCACTAAATCTTCGATTTCTGATGTACAAACCTTGATCAAAAGATAGATCTATGCTTCTACAATCGATCTAGCACGTAAAGTTACAACCTTTACGTGCTTGCATGAGACTTTGAGCTCAAAAGGTCTTAAAACACTCTCTTACAATGCATGGATCCTTCTTTGAGTGCAAGAGCCACTCCTTTCTGCCTAGTAACCCCTCGAAGGGCCTAAATCTGAAACATCAACCCTAACCATGCTTGCAATCATGGTTGGTGACATAAATGGCTTAGAAAAGCCCTAAAACTCCACAAAATGGGATCTATCAAAAGAACAAATAAGTTATAGACTTTATAACTTCTAAAGACTGCAAATGATGATCAAAATCGGATCCTTCTAGCCTCCTGTTGATCCTTCAAGCTTTTCCTTCCTTCCTTGGGTCACAAAAGCACCAAAATACTCCAAATGCCTTAGATTGCTTCAATAATGGCTAGGGTTTGCTATGGGGATCTTCTGGGAGCAAATGGGACGAAGGAGGCCGAGTTAAGGTGTTTAAATAGGGTGCAAACCCTCGGGTTAGGGTTTTTATCCAAACAGGGCCTACTCGCCGAGTCTAGGACCCGACTCGTCGAGTCCACTGCTTAAACCCCGCACCTCATCCCGCTTCTACTCGGCGATTTGGTCCTTCAACTCGCCGAGTCCAAGGCCAAAATGCAACAATATTAATAAAAGAATACGTACCAAGAACCAGGTGCTACAAAAAAGATGATAACATATTTCCTCATATTAGACCCCTTTCCAAATTAAATGAAAAAATCAAGTTGTCATTCGCCAAGATAGAATCTCGCCTAGATTGCAAGTAAGTTGTGATCCACTTCACCAATTCCTCTTATTTTGCCCAAAACCCATGATCAAGAATATTTTCTTTAGTAACCCAAACACACCATGTCATATGAATTTTCAAAATTTATTTTTCAAAACATAAGTATTTTATTCCTTTTGTATACCAACGTAACACTTCATTCGCAAGTAGCGGGTTAAAGGATTTGGTGACCCTTAATGAATGTTGATTGCTCCATACTAACCACATTATCGATCTATTGGGGCAATCTATTAGCCAAATGTTTTTACAATAATCTTGTATTGTAGACCAATCAAATGTATATGTATGAAATCTTTAATAGGGTCAAGTCATTCGCTTTAGGAATTAAGTTGATGAAGGATGAGTTACATCCATCCGTGATAAAGACTGCCTCTTTAAACTCAATCAAAAAATCAACAATGTCTATTTAAATAAGAGGTACCACAACTTTCTCACAAGGAAAAATGTAAACCAATCGGGACTATGGGGTTTATCACATCTTTTATTCAACAACTGAGAATTTGGATTCAAGAATACAGTTATGGGTTAGAGACAACTGCTTAAACAAATGTTTAAGGTTAACAACATGAGACCCTCTAAATGTTTGAAATTTGTCCATGAAAAAAGAATAGAATTCTTTTTTTCACCTGAACCAGACTAGAAGTCCACTCATCGTCACCCATAATTCCCCAAATAGACATTTGTTGATACATGCTAAAGAATCCTATAATATAACTTATATTTTCCATCATCCTCAAGACCCTACTAATTCTTAGTCTTTTGGTTAGATCAAAAGATTCTTGTTTAATAATATCACCATTTTTTTAAATGATCATGGATCCATAGAAACGTGATCCATGCTCAACCCCGAGTCAGTGATTTCATCCAACTCCAACTCAAAAAAAAATACAACTATCAAATATCAAAGTGTAGACAATAAATACTTTTTGAAATAAAATTTTCAAATAAAAAATGCAGAAACATATTAATTGCAATTTACTATTATATTTATTGCATTTAATACTTTACATATATAAGTATAAATATTATGTGACTTTTTAATTTTAATAAATTAAAAAAATCAAAAATTAACATGTGGATATTATTTATTTCAAAAATATCACAAAATAACAAGTATCAAAACTTATATCAGATTAACATGTGATAAAATGAATTTTTATTTATTATAGTAGAATATTAGAAACTAAAAAAAAACATCTGTTTCACTTATAATATAAATGATATCTTTAATGTTGAAAATGATTTAAAGATTACATAAAAAATGAAATTATTGATGTTGTTTGATTGAAGATAAAAAGTCACATTCTAAGGGGCAACCGGTGACAAAGACTTGAAATCATACCAAAACCTTTGAGTGATAAATTGGTCCACTTCTAGTTGTAGGTCCTTTTACGATCTCATGCTTCATTTTGGGCCAATCCCCATTGAACGACAACAAGAAAAAAACACCCCTTAATTTCAACTATGTCGTGAGCCTCAAAATCGAATTAAATTCATCTACCCTATATTGGTTAGTTCAGTTTTTAATTCGTCTGACATTTAGTTTTAGTCTTTAAATCAATTAAAAGAACTTAATTTTAAAATATAACTCAAATCAGATAAACTAGACCGTATATGTTCATCCTTTCTGGTTTTATTTGACGTCACATTTTTTTCGTTGTTGCTATGAATGTAACATGTGTCATTATTTCTTTTTTGTCAAAAGATATTATTTTGGAAATAATATTTATACAATAATTTATGTTT